CTCTCTCTCTCTCTCTCTCTCTCTCTCTCTCTCTCTCTCTCTCTCTCTCTCTCTCTCTCTGTGTGTGTGTGTGTGTGTGTGTGTGTGTGTGTGTGTGTGCGGGTTTGCAACAAAGTCTTTTTGCGAGCTCTGAAACGGGAGGAAGGTGATAGGACACGTGGCTGCAAGGGCTTGCCGAGGGAAGCAGCTCCGATGGCCAGCTTAGCTTACGTTCCGTTTGGCGCCGGCAAGGTCTGAGCTGAGGTAGATGCACCAGCCGCCGCCGGCGGAGGGTGAACGTGCGAGGCGGGAAATCCCCATGGTCATCGACAGCGGGGCAAAGGGGTGTGGCCGCCTGACGAGGAGCGACAGAGACGAAAGGGCCAACAGAGAAGCAGGAACAGGACGACAAGAGGGAGGAGGACGAGGACGGCGAAAAGTGTTTCTCCCTGAGGGCTTTTCCGTAATTTGCCCTCCTGTCCCTGCGAGCCAACGTAAGTCGGCCTCGTCGTCGGTGACGGAGTTGGCAATGCCGACGGCTATGGCGGTCTTCTTGACCTGTTTCAGCTGCCTGCTGTGGCTCGCATCCGCTGCACCGATCGGCCCTCCCGATCTGTACAGATGCAAACCAAGGTCCCCCTGCTGCCTCCCCTCCCCCACCTCCCCTCCCACCCCTTTCTCTCGCAACACCTCCACTCCAGTCCGCACACGTCGAGCTCTCCAGAATGTCCTCCAGGACACCACTTACCTAACCGCGCTTCGAACTGCCTACGACAGGCTACGCGAGCTGAGTCGCAGCTCTCCTGACGACCCTCGCGGCTTCTTTCAGCAGTCCAATCTGCACTGTGCTTTCTGTCTTACTTCTGATTTGAGTTATGGGAACGAGTTTAACATGCATGGCAATTGGTACTTTCTGCCCTGGCACAGGATGCTTCTTTACTACCACGAACGAATCCTGGGCTGGGCAGCCGGGGTCCCGGACCTTGCCCTGCCCTTTTGGAACTGGGACAATGAGGCCGGGAGGGGGTTTCCAGCGCCCTATGACGACAGCGGATCCTCTCTCCATGCGGAAGCACGGAGGGCCGCACCTGAGAGGCAGAGAGAGATCGAGCGGTCTGTGACCAGGGAAATGATGCGGACCGATGTGGTGCTTACGGACCATTGGCACCCCGCCATGGGGAACGAGAGGGAGGGCGGTACTCTGGAAACTGGGGGCCACAACTGGATACACCTGGCCGTGGGAAGGGAAAGCGATAGGAGAGAGATGGGCGACCTGCAGTATGCTGCTAACGACCCTATTTTCTATACCCACCATGCTAATGTGGATAGGCTGTGGGAGGTATGGCTGGGGCGTGATTTGCGGCCTGGGCGCGGGGACCGAAGGAACCCCTCTTCAGCAGACTTTCTGGACTCCAGGTTCACCTTCTTCGACGAGAATGCCATGGCTAAAGTCATTGCGGTGTCCGACGTCCTACAGCTGACCAATCTACGGTACAGTTACGAGCGTGTGAGCCACGACTGGATACAGCCGGAAGATAGGACACCAGCACCTCAGTGGGCACCATTGATGGGTGGCTCTGGGGAAGCACCACTTCAACAATCCGTGAAATTCAGGGCTGTTGCACATGGCACTGGGAACCCCAACCTAGTTATCGCAGATATCAAGTCTCCATACCCCAAATCTGCACCCGCTTCTGTGCAGAGCGCGGGTGTGGTGCCGATGCTGAGGTTCTTCAACATCAGACACCACCTTGACAAGACCTTGGAGCTGCACATATTTGTAAACGAGCCGAAGGCAAACGCTGACACTCCGAGGTCCGGGAACCCAAAATATGTCCAAGGTCATGCCTTCTTGCCAGAAGGCACACTTCACAAGTTCTGCCTAAGTGTGTCAATTGGCCCGGCGTTAGAAAGGCTCAACCTGACATTGATAAGCAACTTCACTGTGCAGGTTGTGCGAGGCATGGAGTTCGAAGTGCTGCCCGGTAGGCTCTCCATCGAATTCATAGATTACATCATCAGTCCTTCAGGGATGTAGCCTTGTGGTAGGCCAAGTTCTGTGCCGCAGGACTTCATGTACCCTTCGGATTAATCCCTGAATCAAGTCGCGAGGGTGAGAATGAAAAAGGAATAGAAGGGGGTAGGACCTTCATTTCGTGCAAAAAAAAGGGTATGTTTTTTATGAATGTCAAAAGAAAAGAAGGGGGGGGTAACTACCCAGGCAGGGCCCGAGTTTGAAATGCAGTTCAAACTCGGCCTTGCAGAAAGGTCCCACCGCAGAGTTTGATGCTGCAATGGAGTCAGCCACGTCGGCCGGTCTGCCCCTGGGCCATTTTCCCAGTGGAACAGGCGCAATGTGGCCCCGTAGAACAGTACCGGCCCACAGTTTGGAGACTCTCTTCTGCTAAGTGCATGAATTTGGCCCGGTACCGGGCTTGTGTCCATGAACGGGCCGCAACGGCCCACCAGACCACAGACCTGATGCACGTGACTTCCTCCCGTTCTCTCTCTCTCTCTCTCTCTCTCTCTCTC